TCGAGATCTTCGGGGATTGGAATGGATTTGCGCGCGAAATACGGAATGACGCGGAAGGCTGCGATGGGTCGATCGAGGACTGTACCGTCGAGTTCGCATACGATGTACGCGCTGCCCTTGTTGCGCGAGACAACAATGAGGGGGCCTAGATATCGCGGGCGCATTTTGCGGTTGAGGGACTTCTCGATCTTCGTGTTGCGTATGAGCACTAGGGCTCCGCGCTTGAAGTCGAAATCCTGGATTGAGTGCTCGTGCTCTTTCTCGAAGCAAATTGCTGCAGTCCGACGTGCTTCGTAGACCTTCGAGTGGAGTTCGGTGACTTGCTCGACGCGTTTCTGGAGCGCAATGGCTCTTCGGGCGATGAGATCGGTCGTCAAAAGGACCGAAGTCGGTGGTGGTTGCAGGTACGTGGCTTCGACGATGTCGAGAGGAATGAGCGGATGGGTGCCCATAACAGCGAAATAGGGTGAGCAGCCCATGCATCGTCGAGTCGTGATGCGCTCGGACCAAAATACAAAATACGCAGCTTGGGACCATTTCTTCTCATCTCCGTCGGCTGTCTTAAACAAGGCTTGTCGCGTGCTGAAGTGCGGACGTTCGACGAGCCCGTTCGCCCTCGAATTGTACCCACTGATTCGAATATGGTTGATGTGGTACTTCTTCGAAAGGTAATCGGCCGCCTTGATGAACGCCGTACTGTTGTCGGTGACGATCTCGCTGAGCACGCCCCATCGACAGAGGATGTCTTCGAAGATCCAGTCGGCGAGGGCTTTTGCTGTCTCTTTTCGAAGCATTCGAAACTCGGGGTAAGTCGTGAGCGAGCATCTACCTTGGACCAAGTACTTGTATCCGCCTGAGGCGAGGCAGGCATGTGCATTGTGTCGATGTGAATTTTCGCAAAGATGGGGGCTGGTACTGCGACGGTCGGAGGAATGAGGATTTGACGCACTTGTCGAGACTGGCAGATATGGCACGATCGAACAAACCAGGCGATGTCGGCGTAGTGGAACGGCCACCAGAATCGCTCATTGACAAAGGCTCGGGTTGCGTAGATTCCTCGATGCGCAGTGCGGTCGTGGCATTCTCGAAGTATTCGAAGACGATCACCGGGCTTGACGACTAGCTTGTGTGCTCTGTGACTGTCCTTGCGCCAGAGGGTGTCATTGTCGAGGAAGAATTGCATGCAGTACTTGATGAACCCTTCGTAGATGCCTTCGGAGATGCCGTGGGGCTTCGTTAATGTTCGATGAAATTCGAGCACGTCGTCGAGCTTTGCGTCGGCGAGTTGCGCTTGCTCCGATCGAGGCACTAGCTCGTAGCTATCCTCCTCCCTATTGAAATCTGAGCCGTCCTCGGCTCTGTCATTGGTGAAGATGGCTAGCAAAGGGATGGACTGGAGGGGCTGAATCTGGTGAACGAAAGAATGCATCTGGTCGATCCAATCATCGAACTCTTCGTCAACCTCGTCTTCGATGACATCGCCGGGCTGAGCTGTGCGTCGAGAGAGACCATCGGGGCCGTGCATTGTACCGGGGACGTGGACTAGCGTGAAATGGAATGTGAGAATCGAGACGATACACCGGTTAATACTCGCGCTTGGGGCGATGTCCGGATTCTTCAGCATACCCTTGATGTACCGAGCATCGACTTCAACGATGAGGTTCCGAACGCCGATGAGGTAGAGTCGAAGGGATCGTAGTGCGCAAAACAGGCCGTAGATCTCGAGCTTCGGCTGCGAAAACCTTCGTTTGCGATCGTTGAGCATGATCAAGCCGAACCTACTGTAGTAACGGACTCGCGTGTTGGCTTCGTCGTACTGGCAGAGGTGATATCCGACGGCGATGAACGACGTGTCGACGGCGAGAATGACGGGGGAGGGGTAATCATAATTAATGGCTCGGAGGGCGGGGGATGAGAGTAGTGCGTCCTTGAGGTCTTCCTGCGCCACGATTTGCTCCGGACCAAACTCGAACTCGACGTCCTTCCTCGTGAGGCGTACGAGCGCGTCGGCGCGGTGAGCGAAATTGCGGATGAAGATTCGAACGACGCCAATGGTCCCGAGGAACGCTCGAACGTCGGATAGAGTAGCGCAGGGACCCCAGTTGCGTATCAAAGCGACGCGAGAGTCGTCGGGGAGGCGTCCTTGAGGAGTGCAGCGATGTCCTACCACCATGATTTCTCGAGCGATGAGGATACTTTTGACTCCAGAGAAGGTACCTCCGGCGTAGCGCATTCGAGTGACTATGCGATTCATGTTCTCGAAATGTTCCCATACGAAGTGTCGAATGCCGGGGTTCGAAGGGAGCCGCTCATCGTCGTAGTCGGATTCGGGACCTTTGACGGGAACATCGTCGACGTAGGGCACCGTAATGTGCGGAATCTCGGGCTGGAGGATGTAGGTGACGTCGTCGTGGAAGATCGGGACTGAGTTCGTCCAACCCATCGGGAGTGTGACTAGGCGCATGGCTCCGTAGGGTGTCTGGAACGTCGTTAGATCTCTCGAAGACTCGGCGATGAGTCGTTCATCGTAGCCGACGTAGAGGTCGAGCATGCCGCCGCATGGTCTTCCTCCGAATTGTTCTGCGAGGTATTCGGGCGTCGGCGGTACACCGGAATGTTGGATCGTGACTGCATTGAGGGGCTTGAGGGAATGGACGAGTCGAAGAGATTTACCGTCCTTCTTGACGACACAGAACCAACGCAATCGATACGACGAGTTCGATGGCTCGTAGACTCCGGCGGCGATCTTTCGCTTGATCATCGCGCAGACTTCGTTGTAGATCCCGGGCGGAATGGGGATATTCTTCTGCACCCAGGGTGTGTGAGGAACAATGGGGAAATCGATGGGGGGGGAAGTACTCGGGCTTGAAACATCCGCGCTCGTCGTTGGTCCAGGCGAAGGCTTCGTTGTGCAGGCACATGAAGTGGTGGAGGACTCGACGTTCTTTGGGAAGTAGGAAGTCGCCGTCGTGAAGCTTTTCGGTCATTTCAAAGCGTTTGAGGGTGTACTGACCGGTAGGTTTGAATGGCGGGGGGTCAGTCGAAAGCTTGGGCATGATGGAGAGAGGGTCGCCCTTGATGTCTCGAAGTATACGAAATTGTTCGGGGATGGCACCAAGGACGGGTCGAGTTTTGAGAGCGACAGGCTTGTACTTCTTCTTCGTCGCGGCGAGTATCTTGTGCATTGAAGGGGTAGAAGTCGATGTCGTCGAAGGAAAGGGAAGAATTGAGTTGCAACGCTGTGAGATGGACTTCGTCGGAGGAGGAGCTGGGGGAGTCGAAGCAAGTGGAGCTGAAAATAGCAGAGTCGAAGCCCACGTTGAAGCGTTCGACGGAGCGGCATTAGAAACTGTATTGTCCGGAGCGTAAAGAGTCTGCAAATATGAAGAAACGGAGGTGCATGCAGAGAGGTACAGCGACGAAACAGCATTCAGAATCAAGGAATCAATAGGAGAGACAAAGGAAATACTCGGTTTTACACCATCGTAGTCGATGACTAGCACGGCTTCTCCTTGATCATGGGGAATCAATTCCTCGAAGCGAGAAAATGCGATTTGCGACACCCGAGAGGATGCTGCCGGCTTCGCAACCTTCCTCACGCGTACGTCGGAATCGTGACTGTTTTGCCGGTGTTCGGGCAGAGGATCGTAATGGTCTGGTTCTCGTCGGCGAAGTTCTTGACAACGCTCTGCGTGAGCACATCGAAGGGCCGGCCGAGGAGAATGTCGTATGCTGCGTTTCGAATGACGTGAGCCTGAAGATACAATACGATCTCACCGATGCGGAAGGGAACATTTCGAATGAGTCCCAGCGATCGGTCCACCTCGCCGTTCGCCGATTGCATGTTCAGCTGGATAGTAGGATCGAAGAGGAGGTTGAGGCCGAGACAGACCTCTTCCGACATGGCGATGATCTGCGAACCGGGGTCGACGATGCATTCGATCTGCTCTTTGTTGTCGACCAACGCGATGATCGAACGAATCGCGTTCGAATCGCGTGCGACGGTGAATTCTGCGGGGTGCTCGCTGTGAGGGATGTGCTTGAGGTATGTTTCATATGGGTCGGGGACGATTGTAGCACCGGGTTCCAACGTTGCTCCCGAACACGAAAGCTGGTTGACAGCCGTGACCTCGTCGGCGCCGATTTCTACGATGTGGGCTGATGCAACGGGTTCTGTCGAGACTCGCTTAGGGGTGACGGCGTCGCGGTACTTGTTTCGAACGTCGGGCGCGATTGACAGTAACTCTTCTGGGGTCAGCGTGACGAACGGCGACTTCATCAAACGCTGGAAGATCTCCTCGGCGAGCTTCGGCTGGATAACGGGGACAATGGTCTTGTACGCTGGTTCCTTGCCCTTGTCGTTCGAGGGCTTCGGCGGAGTTGCGAAGTTTCGAACGTTCGGTGGGGCGTAGGTTGCGTCGCGAGCGTTTGCGAAGGGGTGTACTGGTGGTGCTGGGGGAGCGGATGTAGCGATAGGTTGAGACGTGGATTGCGCAGGCGGCGAAGGCGGCGTGGGCGATGCTGCTGGTATCGTTGGAGGCGGAGCCGTGCTTATCGAAGTGCTCGAGGGTGCCGCCACTCCTTTTGATGTACCAGAGCCAGAGGCTTCCGCGCTTCTCGTGACGACTGGCGTCGTGGGCTTCTTCCGCTGTAGAATCTCGACGCCGTTGAAGACCTCCCTGCGCTTCTGAAGCTGAAGGAGTTCTCGCTCGAGCGCCTCAATCCTGCTGCTGGTGTTGAGCGTGAATGTTTGCATAGTCGAGCGATCGTTGATCTCGAAGAGCATCGTCGGAGCAGCGGGTGCTGCGGGATTTCTTCTATGCCACTCGTACATTCGATCCCGTATCGTGAGACCAGGGATAGTGCGGGGGCAGAAGCTTCCGTTTGGAAGGACGATCTTGCCTTCGGTGTTTCGTTTGCACTTGCCGTCCCGAATGTCGATCTCCGCGAACTCGCAGGTGCCTACCCTGCAGCCACAATTGCCGCAGTAGTGGCACGTCTGTTCAACTCCGCTGTTCTCGTGGACGTGGACGGCAGCTTGTTGTCTCGGTGCGGGGGCGTGGTTGTGCGTAGCGTGTGTCGTCGGCTGAATGAGTGTTGCGATCGTCCTCGACAAGCTTTCGATGATCATCGAGATGTCTTCGGTTTTGATCATCCCGGGGGGCACCGTTGTCGAAGTGTTTGACGTCGAAGCGGTAGCTTGGTTAGCCGCTGTCGTAGGTGTGCTCGATGTACCGTGTAAGATGAACGTAGCCGCCGCGTGAATCTCTGCCATGGTGTACAGGTCGTCGGCATAGTGATCGGGATGCTTGAGATGCAGTCGGGTCTCGAGCCGTGTGAGCAATGCTGGCTGGAATCCTCGAAGAAATGCGCGACTTTGCTCAATAGTGGAGAGCCGATGCTGTGCGATGAGATGTTTTGTAATGGCCGTGAAGTCGCGGTAATAGCAGCCTAGGTCTGCCGCGTTGTGAATCCCGATACGAGCGCGCTCTCCGATGAGCTGATCCATGTCCGCCAGCGACCACTTTCTTGTATCGTCAGCGCCAGGATAGAGTGCTCATACGTCGGCTTTCCAGTCGTTGTAGTTCTTGGCTACGTCGATGAAGGACTCGATGGTTTCCCATAAGTCGGCGACGTCGATCGAAGGGTACCGAACGGCCCACTGTTTCTTGGCTGCTTCATCGGTAATCTGACACCAGGTGAACAACGCCTCGAGGTCCTGGAAGTAACGCCGAAGCGAACGGACTTCCGACGGGTCGAAGCTTGGTGCCGTCGAATGACCGCGCGGGGGCATCAATGGTGTGTTCGTGTTCTGACTCATGTTTGTAGTGGTAGTAGGAGCTGGGCTCGAAGAGGACGTGGTAGTAGTCGAAGGAATCGTAGGAGCGGGCGGTGCGGGGTTGGAGTTCGAAGCTGCGTTCGAAGGTGTTAATGGTGGCGGAGGTGCCAGGTCGGATGTAGGTATGACTGAGAGTCGCAAAGAGGATGCGATGGGCGGCTGAGCGTGGGCGCGAAAAGACGACGGAGTCGGGAGTTCGAGATTCGAAGTAGATGGGATGGGATCCTCGGGTTCGGGCGAAGAACCGGATCATTCGAAAAGTTCAGGAGTCGAAGTGTCGTAGTCGGAAGTAGTGAGGCCTAGAAGCTCTGGGGACGAAGTGCATTCTTCGGCGGTCGAAGGGATCGGTTCTTCGTCGAAGTCGTCCTGGAGTTCTTGGTCTATCTCGTCTTCTTCGTTGCGGTCGAAGTCACCGGGAATTGTTGGAGAGGGGGTTGAGTGTGTTCGAGAGGAGCTGTCGAGGTTCTCGGCGGCGCTGCGGCTAGCAGCCTCACGCGCTTGCGAGCGGGTGACTACTGGAGATGTTTTCGGAAACCCGAAAGCGGTGAATTCTTGCCTGAAATCCCCTCGCGGTGGGCTCCAGAAATGATACGACCTACGAAACCCTAACCCCTAACCTGGGTGCGACCTAAAGGGACTAGAGATACGGATTATAGTCTAGGGAGAGGGGAGTTAGCAGCAAGGTGTCCCGCGGTTCGAGTGCACATGAGAAACGCCTTCGGAAAAGGTTACAAACGCTAGGGAAGGTGCGAAGTGGCTTCGACACGTTGTCGAAGCTACTCGGAGGCTGTGGAAAGTTAGCGACGATCGAAGCTCGGCAGAGCTCTTCGATGTATCGTAGAGAGAAGGGACACGACTCGAAGGGGGGGACTTAGCTAGGATGCGGTTCGCAGTTTCTTCAACAATCATCGAAGTCAAAGGGTTCGTCGAGACTGTATCGACGAGTAAACGCGGTGGACGAGGTTTCGAAGTTACGCAGCGAGGGACAAAGTGACGCAGTTGAAAGCTTAGACGCGGGGCGAACTCGACTTATGAGCTCTGAACTCGAGGGGGGGAACGGATCTTGTATTTTTGGGGAGTAACTACGACAGATTTTATACTACACAGGATGCTACGACTA